CCACCTTTGTTTCACCTATCCATGGCCTTCCATGGAAACCTAGATCAGCCAGTCCACATACGTCAACGATATCTCGGAAGCCCTAGATTTGCATCTGTCTCCATTGCCCTATTCCAGCACGCTCGTCGGAATGGAGTACCTCGTTAAAATCTCCCATGCACAGCTAAGGGAGGTCCTGCAGCGCCGCGAGGTTTTTCATCGTGTCCCAATTCATATGGCGTATGTGTGTTTGAGCTTCCCCGTAGAAGCACGAAATTCTCCAGGGGCGCCCCCAAGATCAGTCACCTTAGCATCTATGTGATACTCTGAGTAACCTAAAAACTCAATCTTTATTTCATTATTTCATAACATTGCCAAACCATAGATAGATACATAGACACAAAGAAAGCCCTGATAAACCTCTTTTTTCTTTTACGTTAAAGTTCAAAAATCTGCGCCCGATGAATTTTAAACTCGAGACAGTAGACATCGTTCAAACCACGGTAACCGATGGGACACCTTTGTTGCTGTGACTAGAATACTTATTTTCTCCTCTTCAAGTATAACGCTAAAAGAAAATGTTGTTTCCCTGTTTTGGTATTATTTTTTCAGTTTTTATTTCGTCGTTTTTTCTTCTTTCTCTCCTTTATCTCTTTCTCTTTCTTTTTTTCATTTTTAAATTTCTTGGAATTTTTAAAGAACATGAATTTTTTAAAATTTGCTATTTTTTGAAATTCGTGTTTTTGTGAATCCACAAACCTTTTTCAAAATCCTTGAACTCTTTTTCAAGACATGTGAACTTATCTTCATATTTTTGAATTTTTTTTCTTAAATTCGTGATCTTTTTTTCTTCAAAATTCAAATTTTTTTCAAAACTTATGAACTTTTTTAGAAATTGAAGATTGCTTTTCAAAATTGAAGAAATTTTCCAAATTTGTGAATTTTTAATCAAAATTGACCATTTAAAAACAATCGAAGAAAATTTTCAATATCAGTGAGCTTTTTTCATATTTGTGAACTCTTTCTTAAAAAATGATGAACTTTGTTTTCAAAATTAATTATTTTTTCAGAATTGATGAATTGTTCTCAAATTTAAATTGATGATTTTAAAAAAAAAATAACTTTTTTCAAGTTCATGTTTTTTCTATATTTTTGTGAATTCTTTTTCAAGTTTATGTTTTTTCCAAATAATTTATAGTGGGTATATAATATATGTTATATTTAATAAATATTAAGGGTGAAATAGTACGGTTTCCTAGTAGTAGACAACAATGCGAGCTCGGTCTAGTGGTTAACGTGGTAGAACGTGGACAATGTCGTGCTGAGTTAGATTCGTCCTTCTCGTGGTATTACTGGCAACTTTTTTTCTTCATGTTTCCTTTTCAGCATGTTGCTGGGCCGTCCTGCTAGGCGCTCCGCGCTCCGTGCGAGCGCCATCAGTGCTAATCGGCGCTTAGGGAAGTAACTAGTTAACGAGCGTTTCTTTGGGAGTCTCGCAACTATCAGCATCACTTGACGTGTTCTCAGCCATTTGCCACGTGTCGCGCTCTGGACGTTTCTTTCAGATTTTTTTTATTTTTTCGCACGTGTTTTAGGCTTTTTAAACGGTTTTTTCTGGTTTGTTTCGACGTTTAGGTTTTCTTCTGATCTTTCTTAGCTTTTCGATAAAAAAAATTTGAAAAAAAAAATTCGTGAAAAAACTCGTTTTCTTTTTTTTTTCCTTTTGCGAAAGTCACGATTTTTCTTCCGTGAGAGGTATGGTTGTGCTTTAGCAAGAGTCACGACCGTGCCTTTCGGAAACAAAAAAAACGCGTTTTCTATTTTTTTTTTCTTTCGCGAGTCACGGTTTTGCTTCCGTGAGAGGCACGGTTGTAC